TGACACCAGCCCCTATCTCTACGATTTTCACTGGTCAGTTTTATTCAGAAGTAGATAGGTAGGTGCTTCTCTGAAGTTTGTCTTAGTCTGAAAGGTTATTGAAATATGTCCACAGTGGGTACCCTGTAGGTATTTGAAATACTGGCGGCATAGCTTCCAGCATCACAGCAATGCAGACGTCACCACAGTGACTTAAACAGAGCCTCAAAATAAATAAAGCAAAACCTGACCAGATGGAAAGGAAAATTAGATCACTTAAAAATTGGAGCTGTCTGTGTCCATCCAATAATTAACAGACCAACTAGGCAAAATCATCAAGGGTGCTAAAGGCGTTGAAAAGCATAACCAACCAACTTGATCATCTGATTATATATAATACTTAACCCCATAACGGTAAGCCAGATCATCTTTTCAAATGTGTGTAGACCAGTAGCAAGAAATGACAAAATGCCAAATAAAAAAAGCCTCAATGAATGTTTTAGAATGAAAATCACACAAAGTATGATCTCCAACCACAACCGAACGTATTATAAATTCAGCAATGAAAGGGAAATCCCCCAAATATTTGGACTTAAACAACATACTTCTAAATTCCTCATGGATTAAAGAGGACATCAGATAGGAAATGAGAGGCAGAGTTCAAACTACACACAAATGAAAATACAACAAAAGAACATTCACTGGATGCAGTTAAAGCAATGCGTGGAGGGAAATGTGTAGCTCTGAGCTTTGGTGGAATAGGGGGTTATGCGTTGGGCGGCTCAAAAGCACTAGCTACTCCACGAAAGATGAGGAAGCTTTTTACTTCCATGAAGATTTAGTCTCCGAAACTCCTCAGGGCAGTGCTACTTTGTCCTAGGAGTTGCTGAGTCGGGACTGACTGGATGGCAGTGGGTATGGGTTGTTTTAATATCAGAAAAGACGAGAAGCCTCTAATCAGTAGCTAACACTCCCGCAGTGTGGAACTAGCCAAAGGACAGCAAACTAAGCCCCCAGCACGCAAAAGGAAGGAAACAATAAAGATGAGAGCAGAGACCAATCGGGTGGGCTGTCATCTCTAGTTTTCCTCAGGGGTCTGGCCCCCTCTGCAAGGGCATCCTCTGGCCCACACGGGTTTGGACGGGTTCACAGCGGAGTCTCCCTTGTGGCCATTATCTCCTCATCACGGCTTTCCCTTCGTCTTCGTTTTCACAGACAGCTCTTCACGTTGGGGCAGTCAAGGGGCTCCTTTCTGGTAAATTTAAATCTCTCTCTCTCCTTTTTTGGCTATTCCTGTGGCTTTGTAAGAAAAAGATTTAGTAGTGCCCAGATTACCATTTTCAAACTGAAAGACCTCAATTACTCTTTATGCCGTGACAGTCCTTAGATAAGATGTTCAATAATCACTGATCAACCCGTCACTGGCTCTACCACTGCCGCTTGTGTGACAATGAACTCCACTCCACTCCGAAACCTGTTTCCCCATCGACAAAAGGAGGATCTGAAGATTGTGCCCCGTTGAAAACAATGTTTGTAAACTGCGGCAAGCACAGTGCATGCCGTAAAATGCGTAGCCCAATGCCCATCAACTACGATGCTTATGCATTTACACTGACGGGGGTTCAACAGGCTGAGAGACGCACACTGAACGCGAGGGCGGTGCGGAGCCGACAGGGCAGCCTCAACTGCCTTTGTCAGGGTCCCGTCTGGGCGCTTTCCTGTCACAGTGGACTTCTTCTCAGGAAGGTTCCCGCTTACCAGGTTCTGGCATTTGCAGGTTGTAAGGTAACTGTTCTCAGTGTTTCCCCTTTCTCTGGAAAGCTAAGGAACTCCCTACCTGTAAAGCAATTCTGCATCACTTTACAGGCAGCAGGAGAGACAAGAAACCAGTCCTCCAGCCCAGCCAGAACCGGAGAAGAAAACATGTCACTCAGTTCAGGGCAGTTAGGGTTAGAAGTCGCATGGCTGAGCTCTGGGCAGCACGCGACTACATGCAGGCCCTTCACGTGCACTTTCACAGAAACATGAGGAGAAGGCCAGATGGTTCTTAAGGTCCCTTTCAGCTTTTGTACTCGATCCTAAGAACAGCATAGGATCCACATGTACTTTTGTGCTTGTCTGCTTGAAAGCTCAGTTTATGACTGGCTGCATTGTGAGCAAAATCTAACCCGTGAAGACATGTACCAGAGCACAGCCACGAGGGTTCAAAAGACGTTACATGACACTCCATGACTTCTCTTAAATGTGAGAACATCAGTCTCAACTGTGAACCAGCAACTGCCCAACGTCCACCCACAGAAGCAGCAAACTCAGGAGCACGGGCCGCCCCTGGAACACGCCCAGGTCCAGAGGACCGCGACACTCACCCCTCCTCACTTTCCCTCAGTAAGCGACTGGCGATGCGGATCAGCATGCAGTAAGCAAACTGTGACTTGAGTCCCGATTTGGTAAACTTATTGAGCATCTTCGAGACAGCGAGCCGGTCATTCCTTCTCAGGTGATACAGGACCCCCAGGGCGTGGTACTAAAAGGGAAGGAATGAGGCCACAAAGCTGATCAGAAACAGGGCAAGGCCCATGGAAGTAGAATCACGTGGACCTAGAGTCAAGATTCATACTAAAAAGGTACCCACGCCTAATGCATAGAGAGGGTACCTGGTCTCTAACTGACCTAAGCTCATGAAAGACTACAGTACAGAGACTGGGGATCCGTTTCTCATTTAACCCCATAAAGTGTAGACTCAGTCTGGACAAATATCAGGACATGGCCCAGGAGCAGACAGCCCCAGTGAGTGCCACTCTGCCCTACTCGTGCTCGGCACAAAGGCTCTCAGGCCCCAGGTTTTACCAGTGCCGAACTCTCTGAGGGCTTTAAATCACCAGCATCGTTGTTAAAGGACTTCATCTCCTACAGAAGCCTTAAGGAGTGTCAGGATCTTGGTACTTTGTGCAAAAAACCCCGCCATGATCAAAGTCAGAGGGGAACACGTTTTTCCCTGGGAAACATGGCTACCGGGCAGTCCCTGACTTACCTCTGGGTTCTGTTTGAAAAACTGCGTCACATATTGGTCTGACATAAGTCTAATACCTTTCTCTCTTTTAATTGTTATTATTACTGCCTTTTATGATCATATCTTAATAAATCCTAATTCTCTTTGCCTTTCGGGGTTGAAAACATTACACATCAACCTACAGATTTGGGGGGCATCGGCCAGTGAAGTGCTACATCATATGTAGCATATGAAATAAGAATCATAAAGATATGCTACACGAAGACAAAACAGAGGGTCCTGAGTGTGGTTCTTCGTGTCTAGAACATGTCCTAAGTCAGGGGACTACCTCCACTCCATTTCCACATCACTCCTTATGAATATGCTAATGAGCCCAGTTATAGCTGGTGAAAGTAGCATAAACACATTCTCAAATATAAATGGGCAACTTCCCATAAGCTTAACAGCTAAGAACCGACTCCCTTCTTTTCCTGAGGGATATAGCCTCATGCATACGAGAAGGAGATTTTTGTGAAGAAAAAACAAAACAAAACGGTTTCAAACTCCACAATGTAAAACTTGCCCATTACAATGCTTCTGTCATCAGGGCTTGACATTGAACGACCCTCTACACAAAAGATGTGTCACACGGGGGCGGGGCGGAGCTCCACCTAGCACACAACAGAAGACTCTTCTTGCATATCCCTCGGAGGTCATCCGGCTTTGGGGAAGTGGCAGTCACAGTGAGTGGGAAACGCACTTGGGCGTATAAACAGCAAAGTGTGCACCTTCGTGAATGCTCATCTGTGGAATTACAAAACTACCCTGAAACTGCAGGCTTAAAGACAGCTGGTCCTGAGACCTAAGGTAAGGGGACTCGATGACAATACCTGGACCATGACGTTATCACTTGAGGCCGCTTCCTGAGCTTCATTGATCCAGCGCTTTACCACATCGTAGCTGATCTTCATCATGTGCTGATACAGGGGTGGGTGTGAAGGGGGGATTGAAAAGAGACAAGGCCTGGTCACAAGCAGTTTGTAACCTTGCGTTAGTCTGCATTCCTAACTGCAAAACCAACAATTTGTGGCTTTTTTAAGTCTACTGCAAATTGCTACTCGTGGGGTTACTTACGTGTTGTCTAAGAATTCTTTGCAAAGGTGTGTGTGTGTGTGTGTTATAAAGAGGAAGTAATGTGAGGACAACGACAAGAAGAAAATGATCAGTCAACAGGGTGATGCTTAAGGATTGTTAACGTTACAGCTTGTACTTCCACCCCCCCCACCCCCACCCCCGCCGAAAAGAAAGAAGAGTCCCAAGAGGTTCCCTCCAGACAACTCCGCAAATGTACCCCAGAATCAGGAACTCGCTTCGCCACTCAAATGCACTAGTACATTTGTTACTTTACATTAGGATCCAACTTTAATCAAATACAAAGGATCAAATTTCATTACAAAACAAGGGAAAATGGGGTGTTATTAAAACAAGATTGATTCCTGGGAGGAAATTTAGAAGCAAAGCAAGAGACTTTGGATTAAAGGACACACACAGATGGAACGGAGCCCTGGTGGTGCAGGGGTTACACACTGGGCTGTGCCACGTGGTCAGCAGTTCAAAAGCACCAGCAGCTCCAGGGGAGAAAACTGGTCTTTCTACTCCATGTAAATACCACCCACAGTCTCAGAAACCCACAGCGGTCACCATGAGTCAGCACTGACTCGATGGCAGCGAGCTTTGAGTGACCAGTTGGGGAGCACCAGGGATAGGAGAGGACCAAGAGGCGGGAGGTACAAAGCCGGTGGTGAAGGAGGAGTTCAGAAAACCAGGCCCACCTTCGCTTTCTACTCTACCCTCACCCCACCCGCTGTATCGCGTGTGCAGGGGAACTTCTTGATGCTCACACACGCTGCGAACATAGAAGGACTCCGTTCCAACTGCCCAGATCCTCTGGAGGAAGCACTCAGGCAGACCTACTTGTAACAGGTCTTGCTTGTAAGAGCCGCAGGGGCTTTACAAACAGAAACTGAATCCTGCACGGAACCAGGCAGCGGCTGCTTCACTTACCAGGGACGAAACCAGGGCGGAACTGGACACACTGGAGACTCGATCCACAATTGCCTGTTTCATGTACCTCTCGATGGCCTGCAGCATTGTTCCCTAAGAGCCGGCATCGAAAAGACAATTACACTTTTTCTGCAAAAGAAACTCCATGTAGATACTTCAAGATCATTTTCAAAAACCAATCACGTATGCAGTCAAAGGATTATCATTTAATCCTGCCACCAGACTAAAGCCAGCAAAGGAGGGATTTCACCTGGGAGCATTTCCAATTGCATGCAAGGGGGGGAAGCCCAACAATTGTCCAACTGGAAAAGCTGGGCTCCAAGTGGAGAAGAGCCCAGTTTGCGGCAGTCAATACGAGGGGACCTCCAGGGCTCCTGGAAAAATTCCAGTGTCTTATCATTCCATTTTTCTACTAACTTTTTTAAAGGCCCCACATATACAAGTAGAAGCTGAATCTATCTTAGACAGCAGGAAATAAATTCCCTTGGGTTGGAGGCTTCTTTTGGTGTGGAGGACATATTAGGTAGGTAGGTAGGTAGATAGAGAGATAGATAGACAGATATAGATATATGTGGTTTTTTAACATGGATCCCAAAGGGTCCAGTAGTAGGTAAGTAATCCCGATGACCTTACGCAAGAAATTAAACATGTACTACAATACCACGATGAGACCACGACTTGCAATGCTAAAGACAAGAGTCACTTTTTCCGTGTGAACTGGGAAACGGCATGGGGAAGGCAGTGGTAGATACAGGTGGTTACACCAATCAACACTCATATGCTGATGACGAAAGTCTTATTACTGACCACCATTTTTAGGCTAACGACTGAACAGCAGCAAGAGCAGCAAAAACTACTTAAGCCACCCTCTACTGTTGCCTCTAGAATCCCTAACTATCAAAGGCATTTCCATGTCACTCGAAGCTGCTCAGTCTTTTCAACCGGAGAAAACTGAGGACACGCACATACATTATACAGGCAGCTGAGACATTCCCTCTGTCGGCCCTACCCTGCCTGCCCCTCCATTTGAGCGTTTCCCCCTCCCGTTCTAGAAAGGGATCGGCGGCCACACCTCCCAGCCTCAGCCCTCCTGGCAGGACAAGCTTGGCCAACAGGAGAACTTGGGCCTGGCCAGCAACAGCTGGTTACCAGAATCCCACCCTTAACAACTGCAACTAGCGGGGCTGGCATCTGCTAAATGCTGGGTGGCAAACAACTGTCCCCCACTGAGAATCGTGCGTCAGCGTCCCCTAGAGCTGCCCTACAGCCTGCTCTGGGGTCTGGCTATAAGTTTTATCTCTGAGCCTGAGATCAGTGTCCTAGGGCAGAGCTTGTTTTTTTTTTTTTAATTTTTTTAAAAGCTAAATTCAATGGAATTTTTGTTTCCTATAAGCAATGTGCCCTAAGACACTGGTCCACATCCACAAAGGCGAATATCAAGAAAACTGACCAAGAGAAATATGTAAGAAAGGTGTGGAGCCTCAGTGCCTTCCTGGTGGTCATGTGTGCCAAGCCACTTAAGAGTCACCAGGATGCACTGTGGTTGCTGGCTGAACCCACGGCAGCCCCGGCTCCCGCTTGAACACCTCAAGACGACCCAACTCACGTCTGTGATCCTGCAGAGCGCCCTGATGGCTGGGCCCCGGTACACGTCTTCCTTTCCAGTCATGTCCTTCGTCAGGCTGAGGAGAAGAAAGCCCGTTACCAGGAAATGAATTCACGCTTCTCTCCCTCGGGCCCACCCTTAGCTCATTCCACTTGCCCCCACGGGGATCACCATGCAGCTCCTGAGCCGACGTGTGACTGCAAGTGTCTGGGAGAGGGCCCCATTCTCAATCTTAGAGAATGTGACGGTGAAAGTCCCCTGCCTTCCCGGAGCTCACAGCCTTCGGCATCAACTCAGCAGCAGTGAGTTTGGTTTGGTCTGGGCTTAATCTCCATGCGTGAGCTCTGGTGGCGCAGCGGGGAACTACAAGGCCAGTGGCTGGAACCCATCAGCCGCTCCAGGGAAGGAAGGCGACATGGACGGCTACCTTGGAACCCCATGGGACAGTTCGACTCTGCCCCAAGGACTGCCGGAGTCAGAATGGACTCCACGGTCCGGGGCTCGGGGTGTGGTTCGTCTTCACAGGAGCAGGTGGCCACGGCCTTTCTCTCCTGGAGCTGCTGCGTGGGCTTGCACCCACTGAGTCTATGCAAAGCAGACAAGTGCTTCACCATTCCCTGGGATTCCAGACACTGATAAATGTGGTGAAAAAATAAAACAAGAACAACAGTACAGAGACCCCTAAGGATGCAACCCCCCTCCCTCTCCAAAATGAGGAAGAAAACCTCAGAAACCAATCCGACCGAACTCTAAAAGAAATTTCACTACAATGCTCAACTCTTGGATATCTCGACCAGGCACAGCCTTCTCCAATGGGACTCACCACTGACTTCAAACTATTCGGGGAAGCCCAACAAGAAACCTAAGTCCCCACCCCTGGCTACCCTACCCCTCTAGTATCCCTCAACTAGACATGGCCACTGCACTGTTTCTTCTGATTTCTTCTTAAGGAGGTTTATAAAAATATACACAACCACAGCACGAGTTACTGTCCAGCCGATTCCCAGAGGCCCTATGACTGTCAGAGGACAACTGAGAGTCACGGGGCTTTCAGTGGCTGATGTTCTATTAGGTTATCACCAGACCTTTCTTCTGAGGCCCCCCTGGATGGACTTGAACCTATAACCTTTCAGCTCGAAGCCAGACACATCAACCATTCACACCACCCAGGGCTATCTTAACTCTTCTGGCTCCCTCTTCCACTTTCAAAGACCCCTGTCTTTCTATCAGGAGCCTGGTGGTGGTGTGGATTAGGTGTCTGGTTGGTGGTTCAAACCTTCCAGGCACTTGTCAGGAGAACGATGCGGCTCTCTGATTTGTAATCTCAGAAACTGTCTGTAGGGTCGCTATGCGTTGGAATCGACTAGAAGCGGGTTCGGTGTGGGACCGGGGCCCTTGCATTATAGGTATTCTGGCGGGGCAGTGGTTGAGAGCTTGCCTGCTCATCGAGAGGTTGGAGGTCGGAATTCACCAGTTGCTCGTCGGGAGAAAGGTATAGCAGTCGGCTTCCACAAAGACCAAAGCCTTGGAAACCCATGGGCAGGGGGGCTGCGCTTCAGGCCCACATGTAATGCAGGAGAAGCTCCTCATCTGCTGGGGAGCAGCTCTGACTTCCCTTTGCCGTGTACTGCCACAGATTCGCAGAACCTGGGGAAGGGGGCTCGGATATGAGAACGCGCACCCATACCCAGGCCCGAGCCCCATTACCAGGGATCCAGGCATCCAGAGTGCAACCCACTAGAATGTCACCAAGAACCCAAGAGCCAGCAGCCCTGTCACTGGTGACCTGCTGGGCTCACACCCCTGCTTACATCTTGGGGTTCTGCTATTCCAGCTTCAAGTCCTCTTAATTGAGACAACCCTACGTGCACACACCTGCTTGTTATACACGGGCATGGGCACCCTCTCCTTGCTCTGTACTTTGCTGGACACCAAACCAGAGTCACTTAAGCGAGTGACAACTGACCAATAAAGCCACTGTTTGTTAGAACAACACGTACTGGATATGAGAGCTGGAAATGACAAGATACAGGCACACTTCATCTTGCTGCGCTTCGCAGAGACTGCGTATCTCTTACACTTGGAAGGTTTGTGGCAACCCTGCATTGAGCAAGTCTACAGCCACCACTTTTACCAATGCCCTTGAGCGAGTAGTGGCTGGCCTTGGAGCTACTGTGGGCTACCACAATAAAGCAAATACCTCATCAAAGCAAGCACGTGAACTTTCTGGTTTTCCAGGGCCACTAAAAGTTACGTTTGCACTACACTATTGCTATTAAACTTGCAACAGCTCTATGGAGATGTCTAAAGTACTGCGAGAATGACCAGAACGGGGAACAGAGACATGAGGGCATTCGGAAAGTACCAGAAAGTTGACCAAAAATAAATATTAGCCACAATCCTAAACATCAAGTTATAGCCTAATATATGAGTGTATTTCCAACCAGATTCTTAAATATGCATTCATTAAATATTTCCAAAGTGAAATTATATGGGATCCCTCGTATTTTTAGAAGGGAAATACAATCCAACTCAGTCGGCTTTTTAATGACTTTTCCAAGACACTAAGGATGCTCCGAAAGCTTATAGAATATTCCAGAGTATGAACACGGCCTGGTGAGCTGGGTGACTGTGAGCCACGGCCACCACGCTGCCCTGCCCTGTTTGCTGGTAAACGGTGCTGTCCCCACCACCACGGACCTACGTCTGTCTGGGTCCTCTCGGATGCCTTTTTTAATGGCCATTCGGTTTGCGGACTAATTGAGCTGTTCTTGAGAGAACACCAATTCAACAGCTGCTACGCATGCCACTCAACCGCAACGATGCCCGCTGAGCGAGGCCCCTCCAACCCTCCTTTTCTGAGTGGTGCCACTCCCATGAACATAAACTCGCTGTCTGCCCCCGAGGTCCCTGCCCAGGCTTGCCAGTGGCTGATACCAACTTGATCCCATATCATTCACAAAAGAGCAATGCTCAAGGCAAAGACTGGTTACTAAGCAAGCTAAGGGCTGGCTCACTAGTGATGACTTATCCATCTGTCATGTGGGTTGCATGTGTTGGCTCTGTTTGCTCCAGATTAGCATCAGCACAGGTCAGCCCGTGCTTAGCTTGCTTAATGGACGATCCCACATGGAGCCCAGTCACTATGCACTGAAGCAGGGGACGGAAATGAAGCACCAGACATGACATGAGGCCAATGAACTGGGACCTTTCTTGACACTGTTGAGGGTTTTCAGCAGAGAATCCCACAACGCCAGTTACTCCCGCACCCAAGGGATGAAACCCTGTCCAGACAGTCAACTACGGCGACCAACCGACTTTGGCGAAAAACCGAATCTACTTAAAATTCTATCTTCTCACCCCCCTTACAAGTACTAAATACGGCTGTTTTTGTTTGTTACCTTTTTGGCAATTTGATAGGTCAAAATGTCGGTAACTCACTCTTACATGTTTAGGTTCACAGCTCTCTGATTACTGGTGCAAATGAACAAAGAAACAGGATGAGGAGGAAAAGCAAAACTGACACGGGCAGGGAGTCAGTTGTGACAAACAAGCTCCTCTCACACGAACAAAGGGAAAACCAGTGCAGATCAACGATTTGAAGACAGGGCCCTGTGTGTTCCAGTTTTTATGAATTGTCACTTTTTTTAAAGTAGAAGAGTTCCTTATCTATTATGGTTGTTACTCTGTCGATACGATTGGGTGCAAACCTCTGCTGAAATGACTCTTTGCATTTATTTAATATGTAACTTTTAGTTAAAAGTCCTCAAATCGACAGCCCTTAGCCTTGAGACTTATGCCCGTTTCAC